GGCCCTGGCCCAACTGATAGAGACCATTATCAGTAGGATGCAAACTCCGCCCACAGGAGCCTGTCCATTGTCCCCAGCAGCAGGGAGCAGGCCCACCCGTGGTGGGATGAGACAGCAGTCTGGCAGCAAGGATCTGACTTCCCCTCACATGGTACCATTTTGCCAACAGCATCAGCTCCCTTGATATCTCTGTGTCACATTTTGGTAATTACCACAACATTTTGAAAATTTTCACAATGCTATTGCATGTTTAACAAACTGTAGTATAATATAAACATAACTTTTACATGCACTGGGAAACCACAAAATGTATGCAACTTGCCTTTTGCGGTACTTGTGTTATTGCAGAGGTTCTTCAATATCTTCAGGGTGTGCCCACATGGCTTTTCTGGTTATGGTGTTGTAACTCTCACCAAATGACTAAGTAGGACTATGCAAATAAGGTGCTTTTTGCCCACTGAGAGGATTAGATAGTGTGATAGTTAAATTTGTGTCAACATGGCAGGGCAAGGATTCTCAGTGGTTTGGCAGTTGAGACCTAGCAATCCCTCATGATGAGATCTCCCCAAAAGCATGGCCTGCTTCCAATATAAATAGGAGCTGTAGACAATCTGGATTGCTGCAGGCTGGGTCCAGACTCATGTCGTTTCAGGAGCTGATGAACCTAAGATCAGCCGGAAGATGACAGGTTGCGGAGGCAAATGAATCCAAATTCACGGGGTTAGACTGCAGGGTCTAGACTCCCAGGGTCAGGAGGCAATATGACAGGTCCAAAGACCTGGAGGTCGTTAGGAGTCACAGCCTCAGATGCAGGCTCCAGACCCAGCAAAAAGCAAGCAAGTTTCTCCCACAGCATCCACTGACATCGGAAGCATGCCACATGAGGAAACTTCCTTTTAGTTGATTAGATCAGGACCGTGAGCCAAGTAAGATTATTGCATCCCACTCGAATCTTCTTCCACCTGGTTGGCTACACTTCCAAGGGATTGGCTGTGCCCATTATGGAGGTAGCTACACTGCCGAAACACTGAGAATCCTGGCCCGTCACATCTGCTACTAGTGCAAATAAGGTAGAGGTGAGACCACAAGAATACGATGTATGAAACCTTAATGAGGGAAATGGTCAGTTGTGCCATCCTAGTAGACTTAAAATGAGCCATCCCAGAGGCGAACAGAGGGACTCCATTATGCCGGATAAGGAAGCGCTAGGGGTAGAGCTGTCATGGGCTGAGAAGACCGTCCGAGGAGCTGGAACAGTGGAGACAGTGAGAGATGCCCAGAAGCAGTGTCCAAGAAATGGCAGCAGCAGAGCCCACGGAATCAGGAGACAGTGTAATGAGCAAGAAAGCTGAGTGCTTTAGGGTCAGAGGCTTGCTGGTGGAATGTGGTACCTCTAAGCTCTTTATAGTAAAACTCAAAAGCTTCTTAACACTTGCCCAAGATAAGCTCCTATCAGGACATTTAAGCAGACTGAGGGAGTCTGTCTTAACATCATAATGGAATGCAGCTTTGTAAATGCCCTCAGAGCAATTCTTATTTAAACTACCCCCTCCCTTTATCAAGAGATGCTGTAAGTCTTTCTCTCAGGGACAGGAGTGTCCATTCCCCACCCATCCCCCCCGCTAGGAGGGCAAGCTACCATAGAGAGGAAATCCAGGGATGGGGTCATAAAACAAGGCACCTGAAACTTTACCTAAGTATACTTTTGTTTTCCTTCTGTCAATACCACTTAGTGATATAGGTA